TTACGGAGCCCTTGTCATTTTTCTAGCCTTAGCCCTAGTCCTTAGCCTTAGCCCTAGTCCTTAGCCTTAGCCCTAGTCCTTAGCCTTAGCCTTAGCCCTAGTCATTAGCCTTAGCCTTAGCCCTAGTCCTTAGCCTTAGCCCTAGTCGTTTGCCTTAGCCTTAGCCTTAGCCCTAGTCTTAGCTTTAGCCTTAGCCCTAGCCCTAGCCTAGCTGTTTTCCCGGTTTCTGATCTTCGCCTGGTTCCCTGGATTCACCCCTTTTGTCTTGCCCCTTTTGATTCTGTCTGCCGATCGTCGACCTGCGCTAGCCCTAGGACTATTCTTGTGTTTTGCCCACCATATACCTGTCTGCCATTATCTGACCCATGCCTGCTGTATGACCACGTCTCTGTCTTCTACAATAAAAAAAGATCTGCGAATGGATCCGCAAATCTCACGTCTCGTCAGCCCCGTAACAGTGATGCAGATTTACCGCTGATTACAGAACCGGCTTTACTGTGCAGCCCTACTGCAGATGGAATAAATTATGATAATAATAATAATAATAATAATAATTTCATTCTCTGAAAATATTTTTTTGGCCTCTCAAGTACACTGGAAAAAGGTGTAGAAATAATTTCCACTCAAAATTTGCTGGTGAATTTCGCAATTAATTAAAAGAAACAGCATGAAGTAACATTAAATAATTAAACATGAAATTCTGAAGTAGAAAGACTGAAATAGAATGTTTTTGTAAAAACTACTTCAACAGTTTTTGTTTTATTTATCGTTTTATTTGATAATTTATTTTATTCATATTTATGACTTTTTTTTTACATTATAAAACATTGCTTTTAAGATATATATCCTCCTGAGAACCAGAAAAAAAAGCTTTGTGAATTTAGTATTTTTTCATGTCATTACATTGTTTAGAGCATAAGCAAAAAATGGAAAAATAACACTTTTTAAAAATTATATTTTATTCATATGTTATGCTACGTCCTCTGTAGAGGACACCAGGACTCGGTTTTTCTAAAAAAAAATAAAATTACATGAATAGACATAAAAAGGCAAAAACAATGGGATTTGTTTTACAAATCACCAATCAATTTTTAGGTTTCAGGATTTTTTTTATACCAAACTTTGTATAAGGATGATTCTCAACAAAATGTTTTTATAGACCTTTTTACTTTATGCAATATGTGTGTAAAATTTCCATAAACTGGTATATGCTAAACACAATGCTATCTATACACTGTACCTCATTTGCATATTAATGTGCTGTTTGGACAGCATTTTGAAAAAAGAAGTGTAATAATGGGAGTAATAATTGGCCAGATTTTCATAATAATATCTAATATGCAATATTGATATATGTAATTTATTTCCTATTCATTTCTTGTATCTCCCAAAATGCATAATTAACATGCTTTTAGTCCTGGCGTCCTCTACAGTGGACATGTATGAAATCAATATCCTGTTTCATAACAGGAAGTCATATTTTGGTTTGAAACCCCATAACATTTCCCTGAGATGTTAATTTACGACACACAATTTGAAAATTAATCAGATTTAATTGATAATTACAAAATATTATCATATTTCCATAAGGATGTACAATTTTATCACTAGATTAATGTCAGCCATTTAAATTGAAAACAAGACAATAATACTGATTAAGAAAATAATTTTTTCAGTGTACAGTAGTGCAAGAGAAGAGATGATGCATTATTTCTGGTAAATAAAAAATTAGTCCTTCAATAGACTAAAAAATTGTCAGAAGGGGAGAACAATGAATCTCAGAAAAAAGGCCTACTTAAGAAGTAAAACAACGTGAGACATCTTAATCTCCCCTCTTTAATTTTGGAAGCTAATGGGTCATTGTGGTCTCATTGAGGGCAGCTCATATGGCCCTGTCTTCAACCACAGATGCACTTAGAAAGGTCATAAGCAATTTTCATTAGGTGCTCTATCTCCTCTACTTTTTATCCTGATTTTGTATCAAGTTTAGGTTGGTGGAGTTCATTTTCAATTGACTTACATGACCTTGAAAGTCTTGTAACAGATGTGAAAAATTATCCAAAGTACCCATACAGTGAGGGTGGTACAGTAGACTCGTAGAATAGCAAACAAAGCTGCCATTAAAACTGACACGTTTATTATAGGCAAATATAAGCCTTAATCTTCAATCAAAAGCTCCAAAGATAAATAAAGCCTATGAGGATTAAATAAAACCTAAGTAATGAATTTACATTTTAATGACATTTACTTTCTGGTTAATTACCAGTGACCACAGAACTGTAATCAATTAATAAACCCCCACATCGCCTCAAGACTCATGATTATACAAACGTTTTAAGAGCTACATGATTTACATAACTACATTTAGTAACATTAGAGCACAAGCGTTTGGAATCTTCTAGTCGAAATATGTTTATGGAGTTATCAGAGAACAAATGAAGTACACATATGCACAGTGACATTTTCAGAAACATTCATAAAGAGAGCTCAAAGCAAAGAGGCACAATAGTGACATTGCCAAGATTGCTGAACCAATAACACGCCTGACTAAGATTCCTCACAAAAGTCACCTTGAGGAACTCATTTAAAATAAATGCATGTGGATTGACTGCCACATTGCTTCAGTAGCTCCAGTTATCAATGAATGCTTTTCAAATTGATGGTTATCTCACATAACAACAGCATCTTATAAGTGGGATATATCATCTCAGCAAAACAAAAAACAAAAAAGGTGGAAGAATGCAAAGTAGCCTAAACAAACTTATAACAACACTATGTACACACAGACATATTATACAAATATATGTATGTTATTTATTTATATATAACAAATGCATAATTTCCCAGAATGCATTACCAGTGGCGTTTCAATAGGCTTGTTCGAGATGCATCGGCGCTGCGCAGAATGATCGGTGTATGACATCAAAGTACCGCTCTATTATGGCTCTCGCGGTACTTTGATGTCATACACCGATCGTTCTGCGCAGCGCCGATGCATCTCGAACAAGCCTATTGCTTCTTTAATACCCAGACAGCCATATGTCAGATAGCAGTGTGTTGGTAGGCTGCTGTTTTGAAACTTAAAACATTTATTTACCTGCGGTACGAATCGTTCACAAGCTCCACGTGCAGGTGTTGAATTTAATAAAACCTTTTAAATCACTGCAAACGATAGGATGTTTTGTTTCAGTGGATTGTAGGTAGATATACACTTAATAATAAGTTACGTATTTGTGAGATACACTCTATAGAGTTACAAACAAATCCTTGTCATGTAATAATATTGAATTACCCTGATGTATTGTTTTTGACAAATGCTACAGACAGAGTTTAAAAAAATAAAACCGGTAAAGTGAAAAATGGTTCAGTGTACTGCCAGGAATAAAATACAGTCCACAAAAAGCTGTTACACTGTTTTTTGTGAATAAGTGTATTGTTTTATATACATACAATGAGGTCAAAGAAAGAACTTCAGGGTCAGGAGCAGGTTTGTGCAAAATTCTGAATTAAAAATAATTGGCTCCCTTCCAATTCAAAAGTTGGAATTTGAATTGAATTGTTCACGCCACACAATAATTTGAATCGGAATGACAGGAAGAGGAATTCACTGAATTGCAATTTAAATGATGCATTCTGGAAAATGAAGAGTTCACATTATCAGTTCAATACAAATTTCCATATACTGTAGGTGGCATTTCAGTGTCAATTGTGAATGGTGCACAACCTGATTTACAAGATTAGATAATATTTAGTACAGTAATGGGAATTTATGAACATAGCACAGATATCCAAAACGTAACGCAATTTCATAATCATTTCTGTAAATTAGAAATATAATATAAATCATGAAAAATATTACTCCACCCCTTATAAAACCACCATGGTTTGCTCTTCATATGAGCACTGACAGATGTATTTTTGGACCAGAATGGAGTAAAACAGGCTCGCCAGATCAAATCACTGGCCAGACAAACAAGCTGATTAATTAATCATTTTAATTGTACACATGTAAATGCATTACCAGGCATAAAGGTAGCTTCACAATAATTTAGATTTAAGCCTGTTATCTGCATGCAAATTAAATGTGTAAGTGTGAAAGACAAAGATTACAAAAAAAAACTGTGTGTGTGTGTGTGTACTGGTGTTGGCATGCCCTTTTTTATTTTATAGAAGACATTCGAGGCTATAGGAATAAAGTGCTGTGGGTCGCAGACAAGCCTTTTCCCCTCTCTGATCCACATTTATAATTCATTCAACCCTCATCAATGTTTCAAAAGATCTATTTTGTAGGTTCTTCTCTAACACTGTCTTCTGTATTCCTTCCTCTTCTACCAATTTAGGTGAGCGTCATTTTGTGAGGAAAAAAGGTTAGTATCAAACTCTGTGCTTCACTTTGATCATGCAGCCTACACAAGAAATGCATCATTTTAAAAGTGCACTTTGTAATTTTTCCAACATTAAAAAAGATTTACACATAAAAAAATTAAATCCAAGGTACACTAACTTGAGATGAATAATCTAGTCATATCTGTAAGGGTAGGATAGTGTCCATAGCCTTCTGAACATCTTTTATACATATATTTTTTTTACCGTGGCCACTATAGCTTTTCCCCTCTCGAGTGACCTTGTGAGTACATCCTTCTTCATGGTTTTCTAAAGCATTAATTCTCCATTTAAAGTGGAGCACTATAGCACTTATAGGGTGTCAAGTGGTGTTTGGCATAAATAAGCTTATATTCAGACAGATGATTTAAAAATTGATACATTACTGCTGAACTAAATAAATGGGCAAATCTCTAATTGAGAAAGTATTAGGGGCACTATTTGAAGAGCAATCATTAGTTGCCTGGGAGGGTGACTATTTTGTCAGGCTGTTAAAAAAAAGTTTTTTAAATTTTTTTTATAATTTTTTGCTGGATTTGGAGTATCACATTCAAATTAAAGCCTTACAAAATGTACCAGGCTATAAAATTGTGTTCTCACAAAGCAGTGTACATTAACTTTTAAGATCTTAAAGAGATTGTTCATCATCATTAACATGCCCTCATGTTGTTCCGAACCCTTGTAGTTTTTTTTCCTTCTGTCAAATGTCAAATACAAAAGATATTTGCAGAATGCTGACACCACTCTTTACCATACAATGCGAAATGAATGGTGACCAGGGGCTGAAAAGGCACTAAGGAACAGACTGAAATTCTGCTAATTATTAATAATTTTCTCCTCTATTACAGACGTTGATATGCCAAATTTGAATATGTGCATATTCAAATTGCACAAATTAGATATGAGTGGAGGAGAGGAAGATATGATTATAGCACAATACTTTTCTGATACTTTCGTGGTGCTTTTTTGTTGTTTTTGGAGCTTGACAGCCTGTGGTCACCATTAAATTTCTTTATATCCATGAATATCTTGTCCTACATCTCCTTTTGTGATTTACAAAATAATAATAATAATAATAATAATAAAATCATAGGGATTTGGAATGAAAATGATGGGTAAATGTATTGATCCTTTATTTAGCTAGGAGAATCCCATTGAGACATCACAATCTCTTCTTCCAGGGAGACTTCAAAGATGGCAGCACATACAGTTACACACACACACACACACACACACACACACACATAAAAGTAAGATAAAAAAAAAAAACACTTACAAGACTCCTTTAAACCGGGATAGAATAATGTTAATTTTTTGGTGAACTATCCCTTTAATTACATTACTATTAATCGCGTTTAATTACATAATTAAGTTAGTATCATGTTTTAAAGTATGTCTCAATGGCATAATAAAAAAGAAAGGTGACAACAATTTTATACTATACTTTATGAAGGGCCCAAAAATCTAATTGGAAAAAAAAAAAACTTAATTGAGGGCTGTGGGCCAAAAGTAAATTCTGCATTATATCCTGCATTATATAATTGTATATAATAATTCTGCATCATGTAACTATATTAATAAAATGTATTAAACAAAAAAGAAGAATTCAACAAAACAATTTGACTTTTTTTTTGTTTTAAACTATTTTAAAACTTTTTTTTTTTCACATTTCAGTGCAAAAATGTTAAAACAAAAATAATAAAAAATACAAATAAATGAATAAACAAAAAATGTCCTATTATTTTGACGGGCCAAATCACAGTTCGCCACAGGCCAACTTTGGCTCGCAGGCCCTGGATTGAACATCTCTGACGTATAAACAACTGCATTTTTGTACCGTGCATTAAACCTCACATTAACCAACTAACTTAATCAGTTTTTCGTATGTTCTGTGTCTTTCTCCTCTAGGAGAGTTCTTGCCACCGAGGAAAAAGGGTTTGTGTCTTGATGAGCGCTTGATTAGATTGCATTCATTAGAGAACACATAAACCATCAGCATAACAGATAACAGTTTGCTTGCGTCTGTAATTAACACATTTACAGTTGCATTAGGAGGGCAAGCATTAGAGTATTTTGTGGAGAATGGGCACTATGCAGTCATTGATTGCGTTGTTACATTCAGTGCCATTCATAATCATTTTCCTTTGTTTTCACACACCCTAATTGTGCTCCCCATGCTAATCAGTGTTCCATAAAGCTGCATGTATTTGTCCATTAACATCTTCATGAAATGGTCATTAAGCCATCTCTAAATGGTAAAGCTAATGCAGAAAGCATCTAAACTCCATTATCAGTTTCAGCTAATGCAAATGTTTGTGAATAAAAGTATAGTCTCACATATGTATAATAAAAGTCTGTATTTGATTATACGGGTGACACATTTGCTGTCATTTGTCATATTAACACTTAAGGGAACTCTGCAAGCTTCATAAATTGGTGTGGCCTGGTTTTGCTTTAAAGGGACAGTCCATAATTGGTGACACAGGGACACCTAAGAGACCAGGAAATTAGCTGTGCACTCCTAAGACATATAGGCAGTGTCACTGGAGGAATATGATAAACCGTAATTATTGTTCTAAGAGGATGCTATACGCCCTGCAGTCACACAGTAATTTCAGATGCTGTGAACTGCCCTTTTACAATTCGTGTTATTGCACAGTGTTCAAAGAACCTCCTAAAGATGCAATGATATGGGTAAAGACTGCTGTTTTCCTTCCTGTGTGGAAAGAGGAAATTAGGGCGGGACATATTTTTTGAATTACCACAGACTATGTACTTTTGTAGGCTAAAACCCGGAAACCAGATAGCATTTTAGCCCTTCCGGTTCCATCATCCTGAAGTCAGTGGGTTTTCTAAATGGATTTTTGTTCAAATGCCTGACATAAGGTCTGTGGATAACACAGGCTCAAGATATTTTAACGTTTTATTCTATGACGTAAAACACTTCAGTAATACCCCCATGTGATTTTTAAAGCTTTTACTTGTCTTGAAAAAGAGCGGTCAGAAACCTATTGGTGGTGACATTGAAGTCATGCAACCATGGTAGAGTTTGTTTATAGCTTACATTTGACTTTTTACATTTGCCGATTGTATCAAAAATGATAAAAGTTGCATTAATTTGTGAAGAGTATCAAAATGAACACAATGTGTAAGAATCATAAACTTTTGTTGGTCACAGAGCTTATTTTCTGCAATAATCCAAAAGTCAATGTCAAGGGAACCAGGGTGATGCTAACTTCCGGGCAGTGGTGTATAAAGTACCTGAAAATCTTACCAGAAAATTACTTTGGTAGAAGTTGAAGTCACTGTTTAGAATATTATTTGAGTAAAAGTCTTAAAGTATGTGATATTATTGTACTTAAGTACTAAACGTATTTTTTTAATCTTAAACTTAAGTACTTAAGTATTGAAAGTAAAAGTACAAGTACATGCAAAATGGAAAAGAAGCAAATAAATATATAGCCTATAAAAATTTTCATACACAGCTTTAACAGTTTTAACTCTTTCTTCCATTTTGTATTTTTGGGTAAGAATAAGAAGCACTTTATCCGGTACTTAGTGTCTTTCATTCCAACATAAGAAAATATTTCTGGAATCTGCATCTGAAATAGCATTTAGATGTATTTACACAGTTTATGTATCTCAGAGGGGAAATGGATGCATTTAAACTGCAGTTACAGATGCATAAATAGGCCTAATGTTTTGTTTTTAACATAAAACGTTGAATACTGATATTTGAAATAATTTAAAACACTAAAAAAAAATAGTCGCAATGTGAAATTAAAACCGCCAGTAGGTGACAGCAAGTGACTGTTAATGAGGGAGTCATTGAGATTCAACCGATTCATTTAAAGACTGATTAATTCAGAAACAAAGCATTTGACTGTGTTAATGAGGGAATCACTGAATCATTTATTCAACCGATTCGTTTAAAAAGCTGATTCATTCAATAAGTAAACACCGTCCTTTGCTCAGAGGCAAAACAGTGCTGTGTGATCTTTGTTTGGAACTATTTTTGTTAGCAAAATTGAGCAAAAACAAGCAATATTATGTCTAAAATGTAAGTCATTTATTGCTTTACTGAACTTGTATAAAATTATTATTAAATGTGTTCATGCTGATATCTGCAGAAAAACCGTACTCTTTGTGTGATAGGCTATAGATTAAGTTAAATTATATAAATATAAAAAGCATACAGAAGCATTTTTGCCATCTACAATTTAGAATGCCTGGAATTTTAAGTTTTAATATACTAATAAATCAACGTGCGTGCACTCTGTGTGTGATTTGGTGATATAGCCTAGGCTACACGATAATGTCAGATCGCACACCATACAACAAGACTTACCATATTATCGCAGACGATGCTGTATCGCACACCCCAGACTTGACTTGAGTGGAAAATGAATTATCTGCGGTTGTGCGCGCACTTGTTTGCAGATTAAAAAGGTGTTTTTAGGAGTCTAACTTGCAAACGCCAGACCACTGATTCGTCAAACCTGCTTTCCTGCAGTCCGTGTTCTTCTGACTTCTGACTATTTTGTAGTAAGAAACGAATATGCTTTGGGGGAATGTATCGGAGTAAAAGTATACATTTTAATTAGGAAATGTAGTGGAGTAAAAGTAAAAGTTGGCTGAACTATAACTCAAGTAAAGTACAGATACTCCCAAAAAATACTTAAGTACTGTAACGAAGTATTATTACTTCGTTACGTTACACCACTGCTTCCGGGTTGGTCTACAAAAATACATAATTACTGCAGTACTCTAGATATATAAAGATTAATACTATAAGTATTATTATGATTATTATTTGAGCATTTTGATGACCTCAGTTAGCTGTTACTATGAAATCAAAACTGTCACATACATGTTACAATATCAGTAAGAAAATATTACCACAATTTCAGTTTCATGCCTACTTTAACAGACACTGACTAAAATCCACAAACATTTGTAATTTTGCCAAGTACTGTATATAATTACGAGGTCTCATCAAGTTGTGATTGATGTACTCCTTTATTAGTCAGTCAATCAATCAATCAATAAATCATTTGCACATTCTTTTTTTAAAAAGACAGTCCTATTAGTTTGCATGTCTCCTAAGTATTCAACTATCTAATAGCATACTGAAGGGATGATGTCACAGTAAAACACTAATTTGCCATATATAAGTCTGATTATATGTTCCAGGGGGCCCACACTCGGTGGAGGGCCGGTGTCCTGCAGAGTTTAGCTACAACCCCAATTAAACACACCTGAACCAGCTAATCAAGCTCTTATAGGCATACTAGAAACTTACCAGCAGGTGTGTTGAGGCAAGTTGGAGCTAAACTCTGCAGGACACCGGCCCTCCAGGACCGAGTTTGGGCACCCCTGTGTTATGCATTACAGCTTCACTGATATTTCTGAAAACCTAATGATATAGTTGCAGAGATATGGGCCAAGGAGATGTTAGAAGAGGAAGGGGAGTATGAGGAGGAGGAAGATGAAGATGAGGTGCTTGCCGTTGAAGAGGAGCAGGAGGAGGAAGAAGAAGAAGAGTATGAGGATGAAGAAGGCGAAGAAGAAGAGGAAGAAGAAAGTGATGAGGAGATGGAAGAGGAGGAAGAAGAGGAGGATGGAGAAGAAGAAGAGGAGGAGGAATTAGTAAAGGAAGCGGTGGTGGAGGAAGAGGGAAAAGAAGAAGAGGAAGCTGATGCTGAGGAAGAAAAGGAAGATGAAGAGGAGGAAGCAGCAGCAGAAGCTGTGCAGAAGGAGGAAAAAGAAAAGAAGGAAGAGGAAGCTGATGCAGAGGAAGAAAAGGAAGATGAAGAGGAGGATGCAGCAGCAGAAGCTGTGCAGGAGAAGGAAAATGAGGAAGATGAAGCTGATGCTGAGGAAGAAAAGGAAGATGAAGAGGATGAAGCAGAAGCTGTGCAGAAGGAGGAGGAAAAAGAAAAGGTAAAGGAGGAAGAGGAAGCTGATGCTGAGGAGGAAGAGGAACATGAAGAGGAGGAAGCAGAAGCTGTGCAGAAGGAGGAGGAAAAAGAAAAGGAGGAAGAGGAAGCTGATGCTGAGGAGGAAGAGGAACATGAAGAGGAGGAAGCAGAAGCTGTGCAGAAGGAGGAGGAAAAAGAAAAGGAGGAAGAGGAAGCTGATGCTGAGGAGGAAGAGGAACATGAACATGAAGAGGAAGCTGCTGCTGCTCCTGCTGTCGAAAAGAAAGATACTTCGATCCCTGCTGAACCTGATGAGGAGAAAGAAGAAACTGCAGAACAAATCACTCCTAAAGAAACTGATGATGAGGTGGAGGACAAAACTGATGTAGATAAAGAACCACCTGAGGAAGAAGATGGAAAAGAAGGTACTCCTGCTGATGGTAAAGATGATGACCAAAAAGATGACCAGAGTGAGGAGAAAGATGATGACGGTGAGGTCCAAGAGGCTGATATCGCCATTGCTCTTGGTATTATAGCTGATGCTGGTGCTACAGTCACTGATGTTGAAGTGCAAGAAACTGGTGAGGAACCTATACTTCTTAAAGCTGATGGCGATTCAAAGCTATTAACAACCATAGAGGAGAGTGCTGCTAAAGCTGATGATGCAGTGGCTGATTTAGCTGATTCACAAGATGGCTTAAGCGCTACTGATATCCCATTTGATGACCATGATGATAAGATAGCAAAAGAGCTAGCTGACAATCATGGTGAGGTTACAGAAGACAGTCTTAAAGACGAAACTGGTGCTGGACTGAAAGACGCTGACACTGAGAAAGATATAACAAGTGAAGGTGAGGGGGTTATTGAGGAACCTGAGCTAGCTGATGATGTTGCAGATAAGGAGGAACAGGAGGAAGAGGGGAAAGAGGAGGGAGAGGAACAGATAAGGGGTGAGGATGATGATGATGATGATGATATTATAGTAACAGCAACTGTAGTAAATTCCGAACAAGGTGAAGATGAGACAACAGTGGTGGCTGATGAAGATGATGGCTCTTCACCTGAGAAAGGTACCAAGATTATGGTTATTGACTCTAAAAGATCATTTATTTTGTTTTGTTTGTTTGTTTTTTAAATGTGTCCATGTCAAAATAATAAATAAACTAGCCAGTGACATAAAAAACAGATAAAACAAAAAAAAAAGAACCAAATAGTTTTCTCACATGCATTCTCCCATTGATTTCATTGGAATACCATAAAAAATATTGTTGCAGAGGTTCCTGAAATTACTGGAATTATCCTGCTGCAGCACTGTTACCGACTCTACACTGCGAAATAGACAGCACAACCAATGTATTCTGACTCCCGAACAACTCTTATGAACTGGTCCTTTTTGGTGAATCAAAAACATACCGTGCGACCAGTGTAGCTGGTAGTCTGATTGACTCTGAATCACTCTGAGATGGTTCTTTTTAGTGAATCAAAAACATACAACACAACCTATGTAATCCGATTTCCGATGGATTGACTCTGTGTCTGGGTTTTTTTTAATGATTCAGTAACATATAGCACTACAGGTGTAGTCTAACTCTTGAACTAATCACTCTGAGTCACATTCTTTTTAGTAAGTCAAAAACATACAACGCAGCCAATATAATCTGATTCCCGAACTGAATTCCCTGATTGACCCTTTTTGGTGAATTTATTACATTTTTTCATTAGTATTTTATAAAAATAATGACTGAACTATTTTAACGCATTTTGTTTTTTATATTGTATTGTTTTATAGCCTACATATATAAGGCCAGTTATTGGATTGCATCTATTTATTCCTTAATAGTACTAAAAAACAGGAACCGTTAAGAAACCATAACAAGAATTGGAAGTTGGAACTCTGTGTAAATCTTCAAGAATTCTTTACAATTCCTATTTGTAATGTTATATCAGTCTGTAATTTATCAGTCTGAAAACTTTATAAAAACTTGAATGTACCGCCTATAGGTTTTCTTAAATTTAACCGAATACTTTAATCATTTAGACATCACTTGCTATCACACAAAAAATTGTTTAGTATAAGTTTGCTGCTATACATATCCAAACATGCTATAGGAAAAGACCCCATTTGAGTTTGTGATTGAAGTATAATTCATGCTGGGTGGATCAAAGAACAGCAGCTGGTGCATTGCTGTTCAGCTGCCAGTGAAACGGTTAGAATCCATGAGAGACTGCTTTCATGTCAGCTGTCACCAAACACTTGTCTCGAAAGGGGTCATTCAAGGGCATCAAAGTTCTGGATGATCAAGGAAAACACTGGAACGAGATTAAGCCAAATGAAGATGCACTTGCAAACTAGAGAAAATCAAAATAGGTTATTGTGGCTAGAATGAGTAAAAAGTTAGGAATAGTAGTTATAGTCATTGTCTGAGCAGCAGCAGCAGCACATAAAGCTATTGGTACTGCTGATACCTTTTGCTATTTTACTTATGGTAGTTAAGAATAGGGCAGCTTGACTAACTTCATTTAGTTGATTTGCTAATTCACTAATTAAAGTGATAAAGCTAAACCACCTGTTCCAGCTCCTAACTCGCCGCTGATGTCGCTAATGAAATCTGTAGGATCAGTCTCAATAGAATAATTGAAAAAAATAGTTCTGTTTGCAAATGAAATCTGATTGTACGAAACGCTAATGCAATCTAGCCAGCAACAAAGGGAAAATTTTAGCTCCCGCCAAAATCACTTGGAAGAGTTCAAGAATAATAGGTCAAGGGAAAATACATTTTTACTGGTTACTAAAGGTTGGAAAGACTTCGAAACAAAGTCACGAATACTTCTTGTGATCTATCCGGCGAGCCTTATAAATATGTTTGCTTTTCTTTCAAAGACATAACAACCCTGAAAGAAGAGGAGAAAGATGAAAAGGATGAAAGCGCAGAGGAAGTGGAAATTGCTGAAAAAGCACCAGAACCAGAACCGGTCCCTAAAGGTAACAAACATAGCAACAGTTTGCTTGCATGAAGCATATAAAATGAACCAGAATTAAAATGAGAATATTATGCCAACACTAATGAGCTCCAAGGTTATTGACTGTGGAGGAGTGGTGTTCTACAACAAGCAGAAGCCTGATGGTGGTGGATGACGGGAGAAGAGGGCACGTGTGTGTGGCTGTGGATGTGAGGGTTGAGCAGACCCTTAGGCCTCAAACTTTGATCTCCAAAGACTTCCTTATGGCTAATTTTTTCCATCTACTTCACAGAATTAGGATGATGCTGGTGTGAGTCAAGTTGCTTGATGTTCTGCACTGGTCTCTGCTGCACTCTCGGAAAAAAAGGTACAAAAGCTATCACCTGGGCCATACCTTTTCAAAAGGTGCAATTTTGTACTATTTAGGTACTAATATGTACACTTCAGGAGTTAAATGTACCTTTAAGGAACCAATATGCACCCTTTAGGTACAAAGGTGTACCTTTTGAAAAAGTACCGCCGCAGTGACAGATTTTGTACCTTTTTTTCCTGTGAGTGTGTAAAAAGACGAATAACGTACTTCCTCAGACTCAGTTATAGATCGAAGAGGTCTGACCTCATTAATTATATTTTTGACCCCCTATGAAACTGTTATGTTAAAGTGACCGTTTATTGAACTTTATTTATTGAACTGAATATTTAAGAATTGTCTTATATATAATAGTTTATTTATTTTATTTAATATTTATTATTCATTATTTTCAATTATCTATTTAAAATAATTATTGTGATAATTATTTTAATTAGTATATAGGCCAATATACAGATGTTTTGCACTTTCTTTCTTTCTTTTTGATTTTCCTCAACAGTTTTTGAACATTTCTTGAAATTAATACTTAATATTTTTAATTTAAGAAATATTTTTCATTATTTACCTAAAATACATATTTTAAATATTTAATTAAATAATGGAAAAAAGGTGTAACCTCAGCCATGTTAAAATAAACATTATAAAAGCACAAAAAGCACAAGGATCTCTATAATATGATTTCCTCCAGTGAGATGTATTCCTCCCTTTCCAATTATTCTTGTTATTTGATTTATCGATATGGTGTTGAACTAGAATTTTTCTGAATTTTCCCTGAGGGCAAAAGATCCTACTGGGTATCAGATTAAAATTGGGAGAGGAGATTGGGGATAAAGCCATGTGTGTATTGCAAGATGGAAATCTAATCCCGCTCTGAGACAGTGTATGGCACAGCAGTATCACAGACTCAAAGCTCAGATGAGTTCAGAGGACTGACTGCTGCTGCTTCTGTCTGGGACCAGCAGAATGAAGTGTACTTGTGCCTGCAGAGACAACAGTGGAACACGGTGAGACTGTGGTTACACACAGTGCCAAGAACTCATACGTATACAGAGAGATTCAAATACATTTCATAAAGGAGAAAAGCTCATTATGCTGTCAATTCAAGAGCACCCTAATGTTCTCTGACTTGTTAGGGAGTCACAAGGTGGTAACTAAGGTGTTCTGAGATGCTGTAAGGGTTACACACTGCAAACAAAATGCAATTCTGCTATAAAGCAGCTCTAAAAAGAGGACAAACAGTTAAAGTCAGTTCATTGTTGATTCAGTGATGTCATCATCCAGCTCAGTTCAGTTTTCTTCTAATTGTGTCTGTGCAAACAAGTCGATAATATCACCAGATATTAAGTGTCCCCAACTAAGTAAGCCAAAAGGCAACAGTAGCAAGGAACCCAAGCTCCATCGGTGACAGAAATGGAGAAAAAAACCTTGGGAGAAACCAGGCTTAGTCTGGGGCCAGTTCTCCTCTGGCCAGATGAACCCAACATGGTGTGGTTTAGTTCGAGGCTGCAACACAAGTCAGAATGTGGACTGGCATCACTCAGAACATCCATCCAGTTCCTTCCACTTGAAGATTGGATCACATGGTGAAAGAGTCGAAGCTGGCCACAGAGTCTGTGTAGAGGACTCATCTGGTTCTCATGGTCTTTGCTGAGGATTTGTGCCCAAAAATGGTAGATTGGTCTAATTTGAATCCAAAAAGTAAGGCTGATTAGCCCTTACTAATTGAGAACCTTAGCAACCTTAGCAGCCATTCGGAAGACCAGTCAACTAAAGCAATCATGAAGATAACAAATTGCTCAAGTAAGCCTAAACAACCTATAATAAGATTTATTTATTTTTTTAGCTGATTTAAACTTTTAGGCAAGACTTTGTCAGGACAACATTATAACTTTACTTTTCAAGTTAAATTTGTTCAGAGTTTGTTTTTCACCTTCAGTGATTTTGCATTCAATCTTGTAGCGTCTGCGTAGGATCATGCATGTGCGTTGGACTGTTTATGGCTTAAAAGACCCTTTTAGCCTTTTGACATTTGCATATAAATTACAGTTCTGGTCAGAGATGTTACGTTGTATAGGGGTTTTAAATTGCCAAATGGTTCTTCGCCGGTTCCGTGGCCAGAAAATAAATATTCCTTGAATTGATAAATGATTATATTGTCTGCTCGGTGGACGGACAGATCAAATAATTGTAATATTGATTCTGCTACAGTTAATTCGAAGATATAATCTAAATATTTATTATGAATCATAACCAGTTATGATTCGTCATAAATATTCCCCTTTTTAGAGCTAATAAATAATAATAAACGTTACAATCTCCTGCTGTGCAATGGACAGATTCAAAATGTATGTTAAGTTTGTGGGCATTTATGCACACTGAATTTAATATGGCTCATGCAGATCTCAAGTTGACTGTTGCCTTAATGAAGTGAAAGGAAATCATTTTATTTTTAGCCATGCCTTCATTAAATATCCACAGCAACATCTCTGATCACTACGCAGATGTTGGCATAAAGTATACATTTTATTTTATTTTATTTAATGTTTTATTTTAAACAAAAAAGTGTATAATTCAGTATTATTCAGTAAATACATTTGATCTGATCATAATATGATGCACTGTTGCTTTGGCTCTGACATAAAGAAACATTTGGGAGTATTTTCCACCTTTTATTTTATTTTAGTTTAGTTTATTATTTTTTATTTTAGTTTAGAGGTTCTTATTATTTATTTTTATTTTATTTTATTAGCAAAAAAGTGTATAATTCAGTATTCATTACATAATAAAGTGTATAATTCAGTGTTATTCAGTAAATAAATGGCAGCAATACAGTCTGATTATAATATGTTCAGTGTATGCTTTGGCTCTATCAAATATCTTGTTATTTTTTTTTATGAACAAAAGAGTGTATAATCCAGTATTATTCAGTAAATGTGTGTGCTTGCTTTGGCCCCATCATCAAGAAATATTTGGGAGTCTTTTTCCACCTGTTTCATGTCTAAAAATATCCCAGGATTGTGTCCTGCTGATCTGTTTCATTGACAAGGTTACCTCAAATAGATTTGACTCGTTTTTGACTTTACTACTTTGTACTTTAGTTCTTTAAAATGTTGTGCTCTGCAGAAAATTACAGTAATAACATCACCCTATTCCATTTACTGCAGAGAGCAGGCCAGAAAAATGAGAATCTCGGCCCTGCCTGCAGGCAAGATACTCTGTCATTCCTCTATCAAGAACATCATTAGATATGTTTCACACAACAGAATAAATCCCTGCTGAGAGAAAGAAGCCTACTGCTAGGGGAGAGAGCAAAAAATGTGGGACTTGAAGAGATCCATTTTGACCCATGGGGTTGAACTGTCTGCACAGAAAGCTACAATAAAGTATTTGTACTTTATTTTGTAATAAAGTACAAAAAGATCTGAACATCAAAGTTGGCATTGTGTTGATGTGTCTCTGTGCGTGTAAGCAAGTACATGTCTGTGTCTTTTGTCTTTCTATTTTCTCTCTGGGCTGTAAGACTCACCTTATGTTTTGTTTGCTTTATTTCTTAAAACAGCGGCAGTCGAGGAACTGAAAAAAAAAGAAGCAGAGGAACCTGTGGCAGAGGCTGAAAAAGAAGGTCAGTACATAATTACAGTGCTGCTGTTGTCTCCAAATAGAGAAACCTTTTTATTTTATTTACAAAAGAAGGTCAGTGCACAGTTACAGTGTAAGTGCTGCTATTGTCTCTAAATAAGCATCTTATTTTATATTACATTTTTTTATTCTATTTAATTTTTATACAAGTGCAAATGAAAATTTACACAAATCCAATATATGAAGTTTCAATGGCAAATCAAAGTCATAGTCATAATATCCTATCTTACACCTTTCAATGTCCCTGCTGATCTTAATCAGAAAAGTGTAAATGCATTTTATTAGCTAATAAACTTTAGCACCAAAGGTCAGTGAGAAAACAAAGGAAGAAAGAATGCATGCTGTTTTAATAACACAGATCATGTACTCTGGTTGACTGATATCAAAAATGGCATTAGCATTTTAGGTTAAAGGCATTTTGAATGACACCACCCTGCAATTCCCCGCGAGCATGTAAGCAACACAATCAAAACCAGATTTTTTAATTACAATATAATTATTATTCTAAGAGACTTCTTGGAATTCTTGCTGCCGCTTCTCAGCCAGTATCTTCAGATTTGTTATTATTGTTAATCTCCATTTGTTGGCGAGGTTGTCAACCTGTTTTAATTTTTAGCTGGCATCCTTCTTGTTACAATAATCCAATCTCTTTACTGATGGGGTGGTATTTAATCAAAAATGTTATCATTCATTCTGGCAAATTTATGCAATCCAAACTTATAATGAAGGTGTCATATTTGTATCCTGTGATTTACTACCACCACTTAAAAAATGAATTTTAGTAATAACATTTTGATTTATGGATGTAAAATCTGGCATTGGCCTTTGATGTAATAAGCATATTATGGGTTTTAAAGATAATGACACCAATATATTAATCTGTAGAAGACATTTATCCCCGTGTCTCGCTGCCAATTCCATCTTTATCATCCTGTGTTGATTTAAACAAGGCTAATCTAATGCATCTCTCATTAGTCTGTGTCTTTTTTTGAACAGTTTCACATTTTTTCATGTAGGCTACATCATAATAATTTTCATATTTAGTAGACTTTTTGTGATTGATTTGATTTTGGCGTTGACAAGTAAGTCTGAGTGTGCCTCCAAAAAAACAACAACCACATAACGTCAGAGCCGATGTTTCATATATGAACAAAAGATGACTAAATGAAATGAATCACTGTAGTCTATGGGTGCTTTCACACTTGGTTCGATTGCTTCGACTTCCATTGCTATGAGTAGGCTACGGTTCGCGGGTGCGCACCTGAGTTCAGAAAACAGCATTCACATTAGGGATGCACGATATATCGGCCACCATATCGGTATCGGCCAAAATTTTCATATCGGTGCATCCCTAATTCACATTACCCAAACGAACCGAACTCTGACGTCAAACGAACCTGGGTGTGCACCAAAAGTGCTAGTGTGAAAGTCCCCACAAATGACACTCACTATTTTGCATTTGTTTGTCTCCAGACAAACAAAAAGAGGCCTCTACCTGTCCTTGTATGCATTCAGTAATACATAAAGAGCCTCAAAAAGCCCAAGACACTGAACCAAAGGAAGAAAAAGGTATTTGGTATTGACTCGCAAGGTCAATATCAAGCATGTTGTTTTAAAATATAATAAAAAAAGCCTGGGCATATTTTCAATTTTCGACATAACAGAGCCATTCTGTAGCAAATTACACTGGCCATGTCTCATGGATAAACCATAGATCAAGTCAGAGACATGCCGGTATCTTTGTGGATTCTGTTCTAACAAATATTGTGAGCTTTTCATGCAAAAATAACTGATATTCTGTATTTTGAACATGCAATAAATCGCATGCTGAAAATATAATCATTGATTGGTGAATGATGTGTAACTAAAAACGTATTTGCACCAGTGTTATAGAAGTGACTGAAGAGGTGGACGTACTATAAATTTATGAAGACACGCACATGTACGCACGGATTGTAAGCTATGCATACAGTATGTGCATGAAATATTGACCATATGGGTAATTCCTGTATCAGCAGATACAGAAAATCATATTTGGATTATTTAACTTTATAGATACAGTATATTTGCTCTTACTGACCCTTACTCCTTACTGTAAACTTATACCATCCTGCTTTTTACTAAATACGATTCATTTTACAATTTAATTTGGTTGTGCTTACAGAACATCATATAAAAAACAAGCTGTGCTTCAAGATTACATTTTGTTCCTCTTCCTAACCATGTCTGAAATTGCTAGACAAAGCTTTTGCCACTAATGAGCTCAGCAAAGCCATGTTTGGTGGTTTGTATTGTTGTTTAGAGATTTCTAATGCAGTAAGCAGAAATCCACTCATAGTCACCATCTAGTGTAATAATAAATTAAATTGCTACATTAATTGTCACTCATTGTCCTTTTTCTCCTTTTTTTTCCTTCCAGCTGAACCTGATAAAGTAAAGAAAAGAGGTGTGTTTATTCAATAATATTATTGAACAGATATTTATTGCAGCTAATATATATATATATATATATATATATATATATATATATATATATACGTATATATATATATTACAATTGCAAGAAGCTAATGTAAATACTTTTGAAAATACTTATATATGCATGTATACTTATATATGTATTATATAAATTTTGTTTTCTTTGAGTATCATGGATTATGCTTGGCCATGCAAATAAATAATTTGAATAAAACAGTCAATTAAAATAGTTGAAGTAAAATAGCTTTTTTTCCAGTAACAAACTACATATTTACACATAATTTAATGTTAGACATGAAACCACAGATTTGTATACAACAGTTCTATGAACATAAGTTAATAACAAGTAACTTGTATTTTAGATTAAATATGGTTTGCTAGTTTGTCTATTTTTGTTCATCTCTAAGCGATAGCTTTGCAAGTGAATTTTTCAAAGCATTTTAGAATAAAATATATAATGATCTCATCTATATAATAATATAGCAATCTGTTTTACAGGACATCACTGAGGATCTTATATCAGTAAAATAGCTTTATTTTTTGACAAACACAATAGTGCCCCCTGGTGCATAATAATTAATCTAGTTTTTTTTTTTTTTTTAAGTCGAAACCCCAACCTTTAGATATACTTAAGACTTTGTCAGTGTTTCCACTCTAATATGCTAATTTGTATAATCAACTTGCAACATCAATCATGACTACTGATAGATCTGGCAAATAGTTTTTTACATTAACAGTGTATAGTATCAGCAGGGCAGGATTTACGGGGCCGGGGAGCTCCTGGGCTTGAGGTTATGTTTGGGCCCCATACCTATACTACAAATGCCCTCAACTAGAACAATATAATGGAGTAACACAAAATACACAAAAATTAAAGTGTGCTTTCAGGTTCAGATACTGTATACAATTAATAGGCAACATGTCTAGCCTAGTCAAAGTTTAGATGTAATATTAGATAGTCACTATAACACAATAAACAGGATGTGATCTCTCAGTTGAGAGATCAAAACCCTGAAAAACACTGAGAAGAAAAAACCAAAGAGATGTATTATTATGAAAATGTATTGTCATACCTGCTGTCTGTCAGTCTGTGTTAAAGAACAAAAGAAAAAAAACACTGCTCAAATCTGCTCTTGACTAAATAACTTTTTCATATTTAATATGGATTAATATATAAATATAATCTATATCTATGACTTTATACATCATAGTATTTTGTTCCTGAATAGTAGAAACTACTGTTAGTTTTAGGCTAGTCTACCTGAAAAAGTTAAAACAGTTTGTTTCATTTGTATCCTTGTGCTATTGCTAGTAACTTGTTCATTTATTACTGACCGTTTAATTGTCTTTATGTAACATTATTTATTAAAATGCAAGGTTACTTGAGTCAGAAACAATGAAAACAATAACTTTTTCTTGAGGTGTTTGTGAGGCAGCTTCATGTGTGGGCGCTTTGGATGAGACCGTGAGCACCCAGAAAACTAGTTTGGAGCGCACGAGAACCGAATGGTTTAAAACGACTTAAAAAGAAGTGCAAATGAAAAACTTTCGTGATGATGCAACACTGACCCAACTAGGCAAGTGACAGTTCTGTCAGCTGAGCGAAAGTCTTGTCTGCAGTGTGCAGCAGCTCTCTTAGTGCAGAAGAGTGAGAGCCAGAAGACGCGGTACAGCTGAACCACTCACGCTGTTTTCAAATGACTGACTTAATATGATATTCTGTGTGATTTTTTTAAACTCATCTAACCTACATTGTATATTAAATAAATGTTTGCGGGAATTTTCCAAACGTGCGAAACCTGCGAAAATGAGTAAAACCAAAATGCGCAATCCCGCACCGAGATTCAGGGCCTGATTAAACATATATAATCTATTATATAGAGATGTGTAAAATAAATGTCCATGACTTTTCCAAAGCTTTCTGGGTTTTTCATGACCGTATGAACCCTGTAAATGGCTATTTTTATTTATTTTTTAATCGTTTTGATTAAAGGGGTCATATGATGCGATTTCAAGTTTTCCTTTCTCTTTGGAGTGCTACAAGCTCTTGGTGCATAAAGAAGATCTGTAAAGTTGCAAAGACTAAAGTCTCAGATCCAAAGAGATATTCTTTATAAAAGTTCAAAGTCAGCCACACCTACCTAAAACGGCTCATTCTAACACGCCCCGTCTTGATATTTACTTTGAAAGTTTAAGCTCGCGATTATGGTAAGGGCCGTTACATTTCCGACGCCTGCTTGTGGTGTTCAGCCAATCACAATGCACTGTGTCAGTTGGCCAATCAGAGCAGACTGCGCTTGTCAAAGGCCGGGGCTTTGTTGAAAACGACGTGTTTGAGAGAGGCGGGGCATAGAGGACCTACAATAATGTACAGTATTTGAAAAATAATGTGTTTTTTGAACATTAAAGCATGTCAACATATTCTGTTACACCAAATACACAAAATAATGATCTTTAAAATAGCATCATATGACCCCTTTAAATTTCTGCTCCACTTTGTGTGGAGGAAGTGCGACGGGACAAGTCCCTGTAAGATATTAGGGTATTCTATAGTCTTTGGATGGGAGAAAGTGCTCAAAACTCTTCAGATTAATTTAGTGGAACATTAACATAATATAGAACCATCCTTTGTAAAGAAGTGAGGCGTGAACATGTGAGAATTTATCATTATCTTTGTAAATGTGCGATCTTTTGGGCTAAAGGCTTAATGGAACCGGTGCCGCGCAGACGTGATTTAATATGTGTGCCCTTTTTTTATGTGAAAAAAAAAATCATAAATTCCAGTTTATGCTGTTTGATTATGGCTTTGAATGTTGTAGTTTGAAGCTGGAAGCCGTTAGCCCTGCCTGGCCTGTGTGTGCAGTTGAAATGTGGCTAATAATTTCTGATTGGCACATAACTGAACGAATGTAAACGGGTTATGGCGGGGCCCCTGGGCTGCAGCCCATTCAAGCCCAATGGTAAGTCCGGCCATGAGTATCAGTGATTTAGTCATCATGAAGTGACCTGTTACTGCAGACAGTTTTTAACTCTCTCTAAACAAAGCAGTTTGGCCTGATTCATGTGTGACAAGAGTCACCCTTGAGCACATGCGTATGTGATGTATTGTGTTGTTTGATTAAAGTTGGTTTAGCTCAAGGCAACTGTCGATTCCTACAGCAAACTTCTTGCTTTAGAAGTACAGCTCAACAAGCCTGTGCAAAACTAGTAAAGTAGTAGACTAAGCTATTGATAAATCATATTGATGTGCTTTAAAAGATTGTTCTGTTATTTTAACAAAATGGTTAAAAGAGTCTAATTAATAATGCAATAAAATATAAAAAATCAGATCACTGTGAGCCAACAGCATTATGGGACATTTCATGCCAATTTTCACTTTAGGAAATTCAATTTCAATTTGTTTATTTCCACATTTAATAAAATGCAAAATATATATTTCCAATTAACTGTCCTTTATTGTGCATTTGACACAATGTTCTCATTATGCCAGCAAACATTGTAAAGTTTGAAAATTTATTTTCAGCTGAGCAAATTTCTGCCAACAAATTTGGAGATAATCATACGTGTTTTGATCTGGAAGCTAATTTTATATTGTTTATTGTGTTTTCCCTCTCTAGAAGCTGAGACTAAGAGAAGGGAACCCCTGCTTAAACAGAGAAAAGGTGCAATAGCCCTCTTTACATTAGTTATTGTTTTTTTTGTTGAATATTGTACTGAAATTCACCTCATCACTAATATTTGCTCATCTGTGAGCCAACAGCATTATGGGACATTTCATGCCAATTTTCACTTTAGGAAATTAATTTATTCCTAAATTCAACTTCAATTTGTTTATTTCCACATTTAATAAAATGCAAAATATATATTTCCAATTAACTGTCCTTTATTGTGCATTTGACACAATGTTCTCATTATGCCAGCAAACATTGTAAAGTTTGAAAATTTATTTTCAGCTGAGCAAATTTCTGCCAACAAATTTGGAGATAATCATACGTGTTTTGATCTGGAAGCTAATTTTATATTGTTTATTGTGTTTTCCCTCTCCAGAAGCTGAGACTAAGAGAAGGGAACCCCTGCTTAAACAGAGAAAAGGTGCAATAGCCCTCTTTACATTAGTTATTGTTTTTTTTGTTGAATATTGTACTGAAATTCACCTCATCACTAATATTTGCTCATCAGAAAAAGAGTCTCCAGTAAGAACAAGACTAGAGAAAGCAAAGAAAGGTACAAAAGAACAAGTACAACGTGTGCCTGCTTTTTTTCATCATCAACCCCTGAATGACATTTTTCAAATGACTTATAATCGTAGCGATGAATATTGACTCAAATTTGCTCTCTGCTTCACAGCTCCAAAAGCAAAGACAGTGGATGTCAACATACCCAAAAAGAGAAGTAAATCCGCATGATCTGATCATACTTTACTTCTTTAAAGGGATAGGTCATCCATAAATGAAAGTTCTGTCATCATGTATTCACCCATTTGAATGGCAAACAGGTACTTTCAAACTCAACCCATATGGTCAAAAAAAAAAACGCACTGTAGATGATGATAACTTCAAACTCTTTGCAATTTTTCTCTGAGAAACTCCTTTCTGATATTGCTACACTATTTTTCCAATTGACATAATAAGTTGCAAATTGGTCCTCCAGCTGTTCCTTATATGTACATTTAACTTTTCCGGCCTCTTATTGCTACCTGTCCCAACTTTTTTGGAATGTGTAACTCTCATGAAATCCAAAATGAGCCAATATTTGGCATGACATTTCAAAATGTCTCACTTTCAACATTTGATATGTTATCTATATTCTATTGTGAATAAAATATAAGTTTATGAGATTTGTAAATTATTCCATTCCTTTTTTACTCACAATTTGTACAGTGTCCCAACTTTTTTGGAATTGGGTTTGTACATTTGTACTGTATGTCTTCAAGAGCCCACAGTTACTAAAGCCAAAGTAAAACCCTCAGTGGCAAAGAAAGATAAGAATAATAGAAAAATTATGGCTAAATTTAAATCTTAGATCTATTTTCATACTGAATAAATCATTTTTTATGATTTAGAGCCAACATCTGTGAAAGAGAAGTCTAAAAGGACAGGTAATTATGGTTCAGGAGCTGACTTTGCAGTAGTTTTATATTAATGAGCAGTAGCTTATAATTTCCTCTTTTACAGAGCGATTGATCACTAAAGAAAAGGCTAAACCTACCTCTACTAAGAAAGGTATGTTTTATTGTTGCATATTATTTATAATATATTATATACATATAATGTAATATTATATTTCATGCATTTATTCATTTATTTATTCCACCATGAATTCTTCTGTGTTTACCTGTGAAATAAAGTGATATAGATGCTTTATAAAATAAATAGAGAATAAATAGGAGTTGTCAAGGACAACTCAAGAGATGCTTGTTTTTCATTTCCTTTTCTTTTGCCATCTTAAAAACAATTACCACCAATCTGGTTGTTTGGCATCCAGAAATCATGAATCTTAAATATGTATTCTCTGTCCTTTTCTCGTTAGAGCCAGCAGTAACAAAGAAGGCAAAAGTAACAACAGCCTCACATGAAGGTAACCTCACATACTGCACAGCTTAATTATACATGCAGTACATACATATATTCATATTTATAGCTTAAATGTTTAACTTTTATACACAAAAGCTTAAAGCTATAAAAGAAGGAAGAAGTCTTAATCTTTGTATTAATTCCTTTAATACTCACTGAAAGAGGTTCAACTGTATCCTAAACGGTGTTTAGAAATTGGTAACAGCTATAAATATTTCACACTGGATAATATTTGTCTCGCTTCTATAGGCAAGTGCCTGTTAGCTGCCCCGTGGCAATGTCATAAAATGTTCCACCATGCTACTTTTTTAACGTGTTGGACTCTCAGAGTTTTGCTGAGAGTAAATGTAATGGTCCCTGCTACATTAGCTATATTCCACATTGCTCTTTTACTGTATTTTTGCTTATCAGTTGCTTCTAGATTTGCGCACATGGAAAATTATTTGTTGTTGTACGCATTTCTCTATATGCCATATAGTTTATTTGATGCCATAAAATCCCTGCAGTCATGCAGACAGAGCACCAGTCTTGGATAATATTGAATAATATTTGAATAATATTTTATTTCATAATTCATCCAATAATTCTATAAAAAAATTTTGTGCCTCTACAATGGTAGAAGAGAAAGCTGTAAAAGAAGTGAAGCCCAAAGCAGAGGGTATGTTATTTTACTGTAAAGTATTCAGTAATAGTTTTACTATTGCTCATATTTAAACAGCATTAATGCTGCTAAGATGTATTATGACCTGGCCTCAACGTTTTTCTCATAAATGTTAAAATGAAATAAATAAATAAATAAATAAAAACAAACAAACAAACAAAAAAGCCTTATCATACAATGTCATAGAAACAATGTGGGAGACTAACTGACGAACACCACACTTTTCTTCAGAAAATGTCAGCATGTAATTAAAAAAATGGTTATATATTTATAATCTCTCTCCTTATTGATAAAAGGGTTTATAATAAAATTAGTAATAATAAACATTGCAATCTTGCTCTGAATGTGTTGAAGACAGATTGTTCTAGTGAATATTTCAATCAGTAATCCTCCAAACAACAACTACATTTGATTAATGATTTTGTCCATCTTGAGCGATAGGTCACTGTGTTTTAGATTGCTAATGGACTGTTTAGAATTATTGCATGCAATACTTAGTGACTTCTTGACAGGAAACCAGTGCACAATATTTTTAACTCATTGACATCCTGTAAAAGGCTAACAGATCAAATACTGCAAGAGTTAGCAATTCCTGTTTATAGTAATTGACAAGCATGACTAAAAGTAAAAGTGATAAAATAGTGATTTTTAAAATATATTGTATACTGTGCTGTATTGTATACTGTATACTGTACCATCAGTGTAATATCTTTGATTATGTTTGATCATTAGTCAAGAAGAAGGCTGCACCAACACCGAAAGCCAATCAAACCATTAAAGTTGTGGGTACGTTTTTATGATTATTTTAAGATTGCATTATAAAAGCCTGATAGACGTCTCTGTATCTTTGAATATCCCCCCAAAAAAGAGAGAAAACATCTTTGATTTCCTTTGCTAATGAGCCTAAAACTGGATCCGAAGTTTCCACAGAATTTTATTCTTGACAGCTCACAGCACAAAATAGACAAGCATGGCAAAATATTGAGGAATTGTTTGTATATTAATTTCCCAATGGATGCTTTGTGTTTTGAACAATGGTACACGTTTCCTTTGTTTTCACTGAGAACTTACTGCATAGACGATTGTAAGGTGGATCAAGTCAGCAAAAAAATAAATAATAAAATCTCGCTAGACTTCAGTTGGCACAAGAAAATTGGATCTGTCAAGTTATATAACTTCAGATGAAGTCATGACAGAATTTCTCTATTTTTGTGACAGGAAGTGCACCTTTCATGTTCTGCTCCATGACTATGTAATCACATAACTGAGCATGTGTTCCTGACACCTAAAGAATAGAAATAACTCTGATTTTAAACTTGATTAAAAGACTTTGCATGCATACATGAAGGGCAATTATGAAGGTGTCACATTCACATATTGTGTAAATGTAAAGGCACAGGAGGCTGAAAGAAAATAAGACAAGCACTATTTTCCTTCACCTCTAGGAACACCTGTTCCAGATGAGAATAAAACAGCTAAGGAAACCCAAGGTATGAAGTCTATGGCTCTGTTTTAAAAACTAGTGTGCTGACTATGTAGACAGCATTTTAAAGAGATAAGTTGACAAAAAAAAATTATAATAATAATAAAGAATCATTATTTTTTCATTCTCATGTCATCTGAGTTGAATTCAAGAATTGGGAATTGGTTTTGTGAACTGGATCAGCTATATTATTCCAGTCAGACTCAAAAGAATAAACTTTTAGTGATATATTATATTATATATTCCTTTATTTCACAACATAGGGGTGAGTAAATATTTACTGAAAATGAGTGTTATATTTACAATAACAACACAAAATATTTAGGCCTAAATTTAAGATTTATGTATTTGAATTGCATATAAAATTTAGGGCAAAGTAATATAATAATATTAATGACTTAATATTTTTAATGTAAGCAGGACAATGAAATATTTAGCTTGATTTTGATTACAACATTGTTTATTTATTTCACAAAAATAGCTTGACATTAACAAAAATTGAAGACCCCTTGCAGTCCCACTGTTGAAGACCCCTGTCCTAGACAGTCATCAAACAATATGTGGATTTACTGTAAAATACAGTAGTAGAACAAAAGAGATGTATGTGTATAATATTTGACTTTACTTTGACCAACAGGTTTTCTAGATGGTGATCTGAGGTTACTGTCAATTCTTGTTCCTGTAACATATTGCACTGTTCAGTGCAAATATTGCGGGTATGACAATTTCAACCAGAAAAATACTTTGTCTTATTCAAGAACACACTGGTGTATGATCTTTATTTTCAGTAACTTAAGGATTGGAATGACCTAAAATAATATATAGAATATAGAATATATTCTCATAATCCACTTCAGTGGAAAAAAAATCTAAATGACAAGAACGAGAGTGAACAGCCGGTGCACCATTTTGAGTGCTGCTGTGTATATGGGCTACATATGGTCGTAGAAAGACTGCATAATGTTTATACTGTATGTAGTGACTGCAGCAGAAGGCTGTTTCTCTTTAATCAGGACATAGTGAGAAAGGTAGCTGTAACTGTCTGACTTTGAACAGAGAAGTAGGCCAGAGAAATAATCTCACTTTGAAGTTACAACTGCACAGAGCCGAGAGGATGTTAACTGAACTGTGGATATTCATAATATACATGCATATATATATATATATATACATACACACATGAACAATGAACAATACAAATATCAATGACACTGTCTGAAACATGTATAAAATCGATGTAATTTTTGTGTGACTGAGAAAAATCACTGTCTTACCGTAAATAAGCAACAGTTTACAGTAAGAATGCAATGTTTACAAGGTGGAACCACAACTGTTGATTCTCAGAAGGCTTTGCGCACTATAGATGTATAACTTCATGTTTAGGGCTGAAAACTTTAAGAGGTGATCGAAGTTGTTCTTATTTTTTTTTTTTATGTGTTTGGTATTTGCATAACCCCTGAGAACAGTGAAAATGTCCGTTTCTGATGTGCTAAATTAGCTTGCTAGACTGCAGTTCAATTAAGGCTGCTAAATTGTCTTTCATAAATCTTGCACTGATGATATTAGGTTGGATACCTAAATCGTGTCACCCTTGTTAAGGCTCGCTGTATGTTTAGATTCGTTTGCCATTATTTGTCATCACATCACAAAGACCTAATTCACAGTTTTAAATATGTCATGTTCTTATGAATGTTGAATAAGATCTGTCAGTAGAACCAAAGGAAATTTGTGACTAAATCATTGTTGCTTTTTTCTTTCATTCACATCTTGCTTGATTTTATCTTGGCGTGGGCAAAATTATGATAATAAAGTAATCATTTTGGGCAAACGTGTCTGTGACAGAATTTATTTTTCCTATTCATTTGGGTGAAAAAATATTTTAATTGAAATGATATATATATATATATATATATATATATATAAAAGAAGCGGTCTGTGTAATTCAGTCTATCAAAGTTTTATGAATGAAAAATTAGTCTTTTCTTCTACAAAATGATTGCGGGTTAGTTACACTCCTGTGAGTTTTGTAGTCAGTTTAATATATTTTGACATGAAACTGAACAAAAAATTGAGCATGAACTCTAGGAAAAGAATATAAGAGAAAATACGAGCACAAATGAGCCATTACAGAATATTAGAAACAAGTGTGTCCTGTTTTTTCTAAATGTTGTTTTTGACAAATTCCTGTGGGCTATATTCAGTTTACTCACTACACATTAGCTCAAACGCGAATACTTTTCACAGTTCCCAGTGTATTAAGTGTCCTTTTGCCTCCTAAAATTTGATACAAACTGTGTTTTCCTAGCATGCTGCTAATATGACCAAAGCTAACTGATGTGATCTTGATTTTTTGGTCTTACAAAATGTAAAAAGTACCTTACCTTGCAAGACAGAAACCCAGCTATCAAATCCACAGATGAAAGAGCACAACAGGATATCCATGAACAAATTTTTTCACATATTAACAAGCGCTAACTTGGTAACTACCTTCAGTCACCTAGCCATAACATGGGCTGAATTCAGAATAACATACTGACGTACATGCTACATACTACATGCATTGCAGAATAGTAAGAGTAGTATGTTAGTATGCTATTCAGAATTAAGACTCTTTCGTAGTATTTAAAAGAGAAAAAGTACAAAATCCATAGTATTCAACAAATCTAGTATTACAAATATCCTTTTTTTCACTGTAGTAGTTGAAACTTTTTTACTCTATGTTCTTATTAACTTTAAACTATATTTTAAAAGTTCATCTACGCTCAACTTCACACAGCTGTTAATAAACATCTTGGACACACTTCATACCAACAATTGTTAACTTTCTCTGGTTTCTTATGAGATTACATGACTGCTGTCTGGACACCACTGGAAGGGCCATTCATATTTTTAACTGAATCTAATATGCTCAGGAGAAGCTGGTGAATAAATTCTGACTTTGTCGCTGTAATTCCCTCTAGTCTGCTCTCTTCAAACCCTCATCTGTTAAGAGCAACATAAAACGGGTCCACTATTTTAAGCCAAATTCTCTATGGCTGCCTGGCTATAAAAAATACAGGATCTAAGCCAAGGTTCTGGATTCTAGGCCTCAGTCTGGATAAGTAGTGTGGCTCAAGCAGGCCACATCACCTTATGAGTGAAGATATCTGGGTCAGCCAGATAACTACATGATTGCAATTTGCTCTATGCTCTGAGCACCTCTATATAAATAATTCAGAAAGGGGTGGGACTTTTTTTTTAGTACTGTATGGAAACCAGAGCATGACTGAGTGACAACGATAGTGTACTCTTATGTATATGTTCGCAAATCTTCCTTCAAATAATAATAATAATAATAATAATAATAAATCAAAAATACAGTAAAAAAGTAACATTGGTAAATATAATTACAACATAAAATAACTTAAAATTAATAATCGTATAAAGAAATAACTAAATGATAAATACAATAAAATAAAATAACTTTAAATTAATAATCAATAATCTGAAACAAATAACTTCTACAAAATAATTCAAATCTTCCATTAAAAATGTATACAACAAATTATTTAATAATAATAATAATAATAATAATGCAAAAGCAATATAATGCAATATAAAACTATGGAAGCCCGTTTCCGCCACTAAATAAAAAAATATAATTCTGCGTCCCGTCATGGCCACCGTGCCAGAGTCCCCAGCTGTCATGGCCATCACGCCAGAACCTCCAACCATCAAGGGTGCTACGCCAGAGTCTTCAGCCATCATGGACGCCACGTTAGTATTCCCGGTCGTCATGAATGTTGCGAATTAAGTCATTAAGGTGGGCCCTAGGCATTTGAGACTGTCTTCTAGTTTGGAGGACACTCCACTGACGTCAATGCGAGCAGCTGGCATCTCTGCGGTAATGTCAAACCTGGGGTTCTCTGAGGTGGTCCAGCTGTCTTATGTACTCCCTGTTACGGCATTGGCTATTGTGTGTGTTTGGGCTACAAACTGCTCTGCTACTTCTCCAGAGCTCGTTCTAGTATATGAGCCAGAGCCCACTCCAGTCCTTGAATCCACTCCAGAGCCTGCTCCAGACTACGAGTCTGCTCCAGCTTCTCCCGCCAACTGAGTGGCTCTGCATATACTGTGGGTGTTGTGGAGGAGGAGCACGGCACTCCTGCAGTATCTGCCACTCCTGAGCCTCGTCCCGTCATGGCCACCGTGCCAGAGTCCCCAGCTGTCATGGCCATCACGCCAGAACCTCCAACCATCAAGGGTGCTACGCCAGAGTCTTCAGCCATCATGGACGCCACGTCAGTATTCCCGGTCATCATGAATGTTGCGAATGAAGTCATTAAGGTGGGCCCTAGGCGTTTGAGACGGTCTTCTAGTTTGGAGGACACTCCACTGACGTCAGTTCGAGCAGCTGGCATCTCTGCGGTAATGTTAAGCCTGGGGTTCTCCGAGGTGGTCCCGCTGTCTTATGTACTCCCTGTTACAGCAATGGCTATTGTGTGTGTTTGGGCTACAAACTGCTCTGCTACTTCTCCAGAGCTCGTTCTAGTATATGAGCCAGAGCCCACTCCAGTCCTTGAATCCACTCCAGAGCCTGCTCCAGACTACGAGTCTGCTCCAGCTTCTCCCGAGGTGGCAGCTTATGCTGCAGAACCTCCCAAGGCTGCGGTGTCAGCTTCAGCTCCTCTCATGGAAGTGGTGCCAACTTCAGAACCCTCGGTCTACCATATCACTGCCAAGGAGACTGTTTATGAACTCTCTGCCTGTCCTGTCATGGCTATGGAAGCCGTATGTGAACTCTCTGCCTGTTCTGTCACGGCTATGGATGCCGTATGTGAACTCTCTGCCTGTACCGTTACGGCTATGGAGGCTGTTAATGAACATTCAGTCCTGTCTTTCACAGCCGAGGAGATTATCAATGAACTCGCGGTGCCTTCTGCCTCGGTATTTGGGGCCATAAGTAAACAGTCTGCTTCCTATGTTTCAGTTCCTCCGAGGTCTCAGCCCTGGTTTCCTTATCCATCTTCTCCGCTGTGGTGGTCTTCTACTTCGCCTGCTTTGCCGTGGTGGTCTTCTGCTCTGTTCCGGTCGTCTTCTGCTCGCAGACATACAACATGGTCTTAAATATGACGAATGCTTTTTAATTAGACTCTCCACTGCAGTGTATTACATGTGTGTGGCCATCAGAGAGCCGCAGCCTGATTGCACACTTAAGGTGGTGTGAGCTGCGATGATGACACCCTCACTAAATAATGCAGGAGGGCAGTGGTTTTGTGCTGGGTTTGTACACGAGGGCTCAGGGTGTGTCCACAGCAGACTCAGCAGACGCTCTGAGTGGGCGGCACAGAAGGAGATCAGGACAACCGGAAGATTTTGGCACCGGTTTTGTGCACTCTCAGCAAACAAACTGCCCCTTCAGAGTGTTAAAGATGACTTTAAACTTATTAGATGCCGACATAAGCTAAAAAAAGGCTTTATGGACTGTAGCATTTCCTAATCTCCTAACACCTTGTTTATGTGCTATATGTGTGGTTATGATACCTAAAATCATGCAGCTTGATATATTACTTTTCTAAGCTAATGGAATGTGATTTGCATGGACATACGTTTGCGGGAGAGCTTGTGAAAGAAACAGAAGCCATTCACCTTATTAGATGTCAGTGTGCCATCTGAAATTAAATAACCTGTTAAAAACAAAGCAAAATTAAGAGCAGAGTTCAAAACTGATTCATAGGTTTAAACTATGTATATGAATATTTATTGGCTGCTTTTTTTCCTTTCGCAGTTTAGTTTCAGTTACATAATTTATCTCAGCATTTTGAAAGGACATATACACATATTTACTTCCATTCAACATGTTCCTTTAAACCACATGTATTGTTCTGCATGATAATACCTCTATACTGCATGAGCTTCTCAGCACTAACACCCTATTATACAATCAAAGTGATATGGAAAAGATAAGCCAACAATCAAAGAAATATTGTTCCTGTAGTCTTTAGAAAAGCATGGGATAATTGTTGGTTTCTTTGACCCAGGGTTGCTTTGGTTGTAATGGCAATACATGTACATATCCATAGAAAGCAAGGCTAGAAAATGGAGACAATTTGATCAACATTCTGATTGCCTAAAATACAAACAAGGCTGTTCATAATGCAGCATGAACAAAGCATGTACATAAATACAAATAAATTCAAGGTGTATTAAAATACTGATCATGGCATTAACAGAGCTCTACTAAATATATGCTGAAACAATTTACACCATCATTTGAGGCCTTCCTGCTCACAATATCTGAATGTGACACATGAAGTGTAATAATGACTATACTGTACATAACACCATTACTCTCTGGGAAATACATTCTGATTCAAAACAGCCAATTTTCAAATTTTTGTTCTCCCTGATTCTGTTCAGAATGATATTGCAAGGTTTTAGAGAAAAAAAATCGCTCTTTGAGATGTTAGAAGCCCAATGAGTCGTGAGAGTGGGCAGACTTTAGTTTTAGCAAATAAAAAACAGATATCACCTTCCTTAACACGAGCTATATCATTGTACTGTAAATTGTAAAGTCTTAGTGTTCAAAAGCTACAGATGGGAAAAAAATCAAGGTGTTTGCATAAACACTGAATACAAGTAATGTATTAACAGCATCTAACATATAACTAACAACTTTGGAGATTCATGAAATTGTTAGGCTGATTGTACTGTATGTAATCTATTGATTTCTAAATCTGTGTGTATGTTAGATACATTAGATGCTGTCAATACATCCATATTGTATGTCATCATATATGCAAGTGTACAGCAATGTATGTGTAATAGTTGAGTAGTTATTGATTTATATGAAATAAGAAAATAAAAACAGGACCAAACTGAGCCACTGTACAAAGCTGTACCCACAGAATTTTACATTATGTATCACACAAAATAACCACAGTATTCCTAAATTGACTGTTTAGCCAAGCTAGAAGCTTTGATTACGTATTTATATCGAAATCTGTGTCTGGGAAGTATAATTTGCTCAAAATCAATGAGAATGTGTAATTATTTTCTCCCATGGAGAAAAAAATATCAGCAAAAGTGAAAGCCTTGAAGATTTTTATGTACATTATGTATTTTAAATGTAGTGTATATTGCCCTTGTTCCTTACACGCACTCACAAAGTATCAAATGGTGAAATTATCTGTGTGTTAAATTCACTCGTTTGGGCTTGAAACTTAACCGCTGTAAAAACCTATTGCCAACACCCCAGGCATCATAAAACAGCCGAGTAATTTAGAGTAAACCATTTTCACACAATCTAAACCATAAGCTGACCAAGAGAAGCATGTGGAGGCATGCACTAGCATGTGTCACTATATACAACACCTTCGTGGCTCTGTGTAATCCTCTGTGTTAGTGTTCCAGTGAATAGTGCAACCAAAAACGAACGTCTTGTCTTTATTTACTCACCATCGTGTTGTTCCAAACTCCTCAAATCTCTCCTTTCGTGTTTTCATGGAAAAATATCAACATATGGCCAGCAAATATATTATATATATCAACATATAGAGTTTTAACTATTCATTTAGTTAATAAAAATAATCAAAATAGTAATAAAAACTACAATGGTATCTCAATGATACTAAAATATGTGAGTAAATAAACAGAGAATACTTATTTTTGTGTGAACTATTCCTTTAACTTCAGCAGAAATGACTCTGAAGTTGAAAAGATGGCAAAGACGGTACTTTGTTGTAATGTATCTGGTCCTTGGTGTGAATACAAATGCCTTGGAAACCAACTTAGTCTAATATGGAAATGGTTATTAAATAAAGCAATATTCCATAGATCTACGACAGAGTGTAAACAACAAGGCCATCAGTGAAGAATCAGCTAAAGCCTACTAAATGTGACTCGACCTCTCTGGGATATAAGAATACTAAACCGAAAACGCGCGTTAAAATAATATTAGCAAACGCTCATTAGAAAAATCTTTTCTTCGTAAAGGGGTATTTGCTGTGAAACACTGAAACCTGGACCAATGATGGTGTTTCCTTTAATGGAAGAAGCATATGCCTGTCTGACACCGTCAACAGCTTTATGCGTTCCTTTCGAAATACTCCTGAGCGACTTCTGATTTGGGGATTATAAATGCCGGAAACCCCAAAGCTTGTGAATCTTTATAAGCATGATTACCCATCCTACAGCACCATGTTCTACATAATAATCACGAGAAGCACACACAGGATATTCACAGCAGTCTTTACAGGTTCATGTCACAATTACTCCCTCAATCTCACGTCTAGAACTGGAGTGTATTTACAGATTTGAATTGGCACTTGACAATTACATACGGACGTCCGCCCTTAGCTCTTTGCTTCAAAAATATCATTTAAACCGGCAGCTCTCTGCAGTGTTCCTGGAGGCTGTTCGTGTGTTCTTTCGCTTTTTAACATTTCCTTTCTTTGTATTTTTTTTTCTTCTCGTGTTACAGGAACAAGGTGCGCTCCTCCCCAGCGTACGGGGCTTGACATTTCCTCGTTGCCTGGGGAATTAAAAGCCTTTAGTCCAGAGAAAGCAGCGGCTGCATGTTTTCTTCTTCGCTTTTCACTTTCTCTGGTCGTTTCAGGACACCTGGTTCGACCACAGACTGGGACCTGCAGGTATAAATAAAATATGAATGAGCCGCATTTCAAGATGTACAACTGATAAATGAAAAATCCTGAGAGTGCATTGAAAAGCTAGGATACAAAATGTAATCCTAATTTAAACCTGAAAATGAACAAGAAAAGTTATGACATGACAGAGAAAGATAAAAAATTATTATTATTTATACTGTTATTATTATTATTATAGAGTTTTCTCGATTGCAAGCACACTATAACTGATTCATTCGGCTCAATTTTCCAAACCATTCATACAGTTCTCGAAACAAAGACGCATTTCTCAAAACTTTTAACACATTTCACCTGTTTGCACACATGTTCCAATTTGCTCAGTGTTTTCTGCAAAACTCTACACAAAAACGCTATCATTTTGCCCAGGTTTAAACATGTTCTCATTCAGAAAACACAAACACACAATATAATTAACTCAAGCATCAAAAAAAATGAACTCAAACAGCACATATTTATCCATGTGTGAACATTAAGTAGCAAAACTGATGACACACAGGTCAGAATCTCAGGATGATATGAACAAGTGCACAGCTGATGTGTTTTGGAAAATGAATCCTGGTAGTGGGAGACAAAGAGGAATTGGAGGGGGAAATAAAAATGAAGGGGATTAGGTCAATTTTCATTTGTTCCTGATGAAATACAAAGCACTATAGTTGACCATGTTCTTCTGCATGAACTGACCATGAGGGAAGTTGACCTACAGGCTCATCTAAAAGTTTTCAAAGTGGACATACCAAAATATGATCATATGATCTGACATGAAATATAAATAAATAAAAAAATCCAAAATAGTGACATTTACTCTCAGACATTTGGACCCCAATGAAACAGAACACTGCACACTCAGTGGTACAAATTAATGATGCATTTAAAGTGAAGGATGTGTAACGGAACATGTCATCTTAGTGCACTGTGTTGGCCTACTTTTGATTTAGCCCTCTCGTAGAGGCATAAGAACGACAGTGTGCTGTCGTTCATTATGTGCAGATCTGGGGGCACTTTCCTCTGACTGACGCGTTTATGAACCGTGATTGTAATCATGAAAATTCAACAAAAACAGATGTTTCTTATAAGGCAGCTGCTAGGTTTGACAAAAGAAATCCAGTTTGCACTGCATTTAACTTCAGTAATGTGATGTATTTGATGTGCTGAATATTCAGAAGGAGATAATGTAGGACAAGGTGATTCCATCGGGATTTGAATGGATTGGGAAAAGTGGGCTATGATATGTTAGAGGTAATATACAGTCATCCAGTCATTACTGATCATATATACATATATATATCCATTCCAATGCAAAAGCCTCTAAAAGCCATCTTGGTCAAAAATGAGATAATGATACTGAGTGAATGCTCTCCACACATAGTATATGTTCATTAAGTACTTTCACTTCAAATGCACTAAATCCCAGCCTCAACCCATTCAGAAGTACCAGTATTTACATAGAAACCTATATATAGTAGCCAGAAAGAAATGCTAATTTTAAAGAAATACGTCAGACGTAGTTAGAGGCTTTTGCATCTGAACTCTTCATGCATATATATATATATATATATATATAT